ATGTGTATCAATAATTGCGTTCCGGCGAAAATTGGTAAACTAAATTATAGCGAAAAGATAATTACAGGTAGTGACTAATATGTATGTATCGTTTCGAGATCGTATCAGAAGCAGATCGACCAACGCATCATTTATGCGCAATCTCGAATTTCGAGATAATACCAGCCTCGTGGAACAGTATCATTTGAAATGAATAACTGTTGTTATTTAGCATAAATGCACTTCTCATTTGAATTTACTATTTACAGGAATTTTATTAATATTCACCAAATATCTACAGTGAAAGAAAGTGTGATAAATAATAGTATTCATGCTCATTCAAGTATAACTTACATCATTGATAACGATAATAGCATTCCTTAAATCACTTAAACGTAAAGATAATTACAGTACTCGAAAAAGATATAATGTTTTGCGTGAAATTAGTCTTATTGATATATTCAACATTTATTGTTACGAAAACCACTGTCAACAATTTAACTACTGATCTATCCAGAAACAGTTTACAATTAGGAAGATGATTTTCTACAGTGGTATACATTAATCTAACCTGATATTAATTTGTGTATACTGTTACTAGGTGTATCGATTACGGTATTTGCAATTGTGCTTCTCAAATTGTGCATTGTGTATAGACAATCAACAAGACAGTTAAATGCTTTCTGTAGATAAATATTATAATTAAAAAATCTACGAATAGGCCTCGGATAGATAAAGTTTTAAGATTGTAATGAAGGACTTACATTTTATACGTACAGAGTTCAGAAATATCCATTTGTATGAATGATAATGTTCTGAATGTTAGTATAATAATGTCATAATATGTAATGAAGTAATAGTTAGTAAGTGATATTATAATATGTTAAGTTGCGTTAATTCTTAATCTATTCTCAAAACAATTGGATGTTTCTGAAAGCTGCTGACGTGGCTGACTTCGTGGATCAATAATACGTTTCCCGGTAAAAATATATTATAACTTGGAGATTTCCAGCGAATGATTGAACTGCGAACATTGGAATAATGTTAAAATTCAATCATTTCTGAAGATTATTAAAACAGACTATTTCGAGTATAATTTTACCAATACCTCAAAAAGAATCTATAAAGTGAAAGTAAATTTGAGAAAGACAATAATTTAATATCATTTTATTAAGAAAAATTATTGTTAAGTAACTATTTTTCTTAAACACAAATAGAGAATCTTATCGACTCTATTCCATTGAACTTTGAAAGTACTGGCAAAATCGATCCCTTGTACTATTGAAATCGTATCCCTTGCCGGCGTACGTGGACAGACGTGAAATTGCATTCCGAGTTTCTGTTTCTCCCTCTGTTCTTCCAACTCTTCTCGGTGGGATTAAAGCAACCGCGTTAAAGCATGGCAATCGCATTTAAAATCGTCCTTAGTGTTTCCAGTTGACTGTTCACCGATGCGTAAACAAACACGAAGGGACTCGATGGAAATATCTTGTTCTGGTATCTTGAACCACATTCTGACTCTTCTTATCCTTGAAAGTGATACTAAGGGGAATCGATTTCATACGATAATCCTGTTTATGGACAGATGTTATACAGAGTGTTTCCTTGAATGAAAGATAATAAAATATCTCACGAGAGGACGAAGCTATCAAAAATATCCTTTTCCAAAAGTTATTCTGTACAAAGGGGACACCATATGGAGTAAATAATTTGTTGTAAGTGAAGTGATGGCGAAGATTTAACAAACAAATTAATTAGCGAATCATTTTTTTTCTGAGTGAAGCGATGAAGGAGATTTAAATGCAAATTAATATTGTTAAATGAAACCTTACATATTTTTATACATGTCCATGTAGCATACGACTTTTTCCTTAGTATTTTTTGTTGTCATTCGAATGCTAGATTTTGGAGTTACGTGTCTCCAGAAATCTTCATCGATCACTCGACTCCTGTGCTGTAGCAATTGGGAAGCCTCAGTGAGCTTTCGCAACCGGAAACATTAGGAAACGTCTCCGATGACCGACACTTGACTTTCGTGCCCATTCGTATACCATTAACCGCTGAGTGCCAACCCTTCTGAAAAAATCCCAGTTTCCTGACAAAAGAACATAATGGGAAGTTCATCGTACGCAGGAGAAAAGTCTACCCTTACGCACTTTCAGCTTCTTTAATTTCTTTTCTTAATCGAGACTGCTTTATTTTTGGACTCGTTCTTCTCTTCATTCCTAACTGAAATAGTCATGTCTCTATTTTCAAATGATTTAGATGAGCTACAATCGATAAATCATATTTTATTTTTATTTTTCGAGATGTATATATAAACTCCGATATCTCATACCACCTCTAATAAAAAAAGGAACGAAAATGCGTTAATAAAAACCATTTAGAGCAAATATTTCAACGAGTATCCCAGTGATTGTTCAATGCAGAAAAGGAGGAGCACAAGTAGGCTGTTAGTAGGTTAATTATTTTTTGTGAAAAAGCTCTAAAATTTGGGATCCACAGGATTCATTTTGTTAAATACGTTAGAAAGAGACAGGATTGAACAATATTGTCTCCTTTATATTTTATATTCTTGTATTTCCATTTACTCTGTCCTTGACATCAAAACAACTTCTATTATCTGAAAGTTCTCTTATCTAAATACTTTCGTCTCTCGATTAATCCTCATAAGACTTGCCTGCATTTTACCCTACCGAATTGTAAGATAACGAATGTATTATCATTAAAGGGGCTGAAAACAACAGTACAGAAAGGAAATTAAATTTTCTTTCGACAAGAATCGCCGACAAAATCTCCCAGACGCTTGTGAAAGTTTCTTGATGACTCCTTTGCTACAGCAGACGATGATTAATCCAGAAAGAACGACGAAGCAGGAATTAACGTTGGTCCTAAGAGAGTCGTTAAATTCACCGCTGCGCGGTAAATTAACACGTTCTGTCGACGACAATTTGCAGCTACCTCTGCTAAGGCCAACGTCGTTTTAAGGATTACGTGGGTTGCACGGTCGAAAAGTTCCTCCTGGTACATATTACCGAAATATACTGGCAACTTCTATGTAGGATATACGCTCACACAATTTTCGATAGATACGCGTTTCGTTGTAACTTGTTCCTGTTGTCCCACTGCGCAATTTAATATTACTTCGCGTATTCAAATGAACACAACTCTGTAACAGAATTTAGCATGATATTCCATGCGCAGTGCAAAGCTGAATTATATTCGCGTGAATAATGCAACTGTAATTCCAATAGTGTAATTGATGTTGACACTTTCTGTTGAAATAGTTAAATCGTGTCTCCTTTTTCGCATGTAATATTTGATGCGTTCAAGTTATATCTTCTTTTCGTTTTTTTTTTAAATCTATATGTGTCAATGTTTCTTGCGGTTATTTCACAATCTCAAATGGTATGTATTTCACACGATTTGTCAGAGTAGTTATACCTTAATACCACTTTGCAGAGCTAACCTGATCAGTATGCAAATGTAAGAATGTACAGAAATGTAATTAGATAAAGCATAAGATTCATCTGTCACCAATTTACATGGTCGATGGGTTCCTCATAAAACTGTGTAAATCGAAATTATGTCTTTTTGCATGACAAATCGTAAAACAAAAAATGTATATAATTATTTATAACAAACCATTCAATACGAGGTCTTAAATTCTGTTGTTGCAGATTTATTGCCAAAAAGGGGAAAATTATTTTTTAGTTTTGGCGCCAGCGTTAACTAACGAACAAACATTCGCAAAGCATAAATGTTTGAATCTGACAGTTTCTACTTTTGAAATCTGTCATATTGAAAGCCTTGCAAACCAGAGATTAGATGTCCATCATGTATTCAAATGAACGTAATTCTGAAGCAGAATTTAACATAATATGAAACGCGAGCTCCAAAACAGAATTAAATTCTGATTTTAATTATTTAATTAATATTGACACGTTTTATGTAACGTTTTTATTATCCAAATGGGAGGGTATGAATCGAGTTTATGTGAATCGACGATTCGTAAATGCTATGTATTCATTGTTTTGAAGCAGCTCATTGTACAACATTATTATCATATATAACACGTATAAATTGCAACTCGAATTGTATCGATTACATCTATTGGCAAACGACCGCCAGAATGGAAAGTATTCAATACTCTGTATGCAACAATACGTTAAGGCAATCTATCGAGCAATGATGTTGCATGCAATGCGTAATCTGAACACAATAGTACTTTGTTCCACTAAATCACACAGAACGTCGATTTAATGCATCGAACGTTGAAAACATATATAGACATCAATTAGGATACATGACTGACTGTTGCAATAGTACTGAGGAAACATTATTTTACTGAAACAGAATTGAAAGAGATTATTTGATGTGTTATTGGTATGGTTCAACTTGTGTTTTATAGAGGAGTATCAGTAGAGAATTTCCTGTAATGAAACATAATATTGTTCGCGTTATGCGAATCGAATTTGTATTCCAGGGTGTAACAAAATTATTGGACAGGGTTGAATCTCTACAGACCTGAGTCAGTGAACATTTGTTAAATAAAACCTTCTGCAATCCATTACTTCCTCGAAATTCAAGGTTAATTTTTTTTCAAATTTTCTTTAAAATTATCTACAAAATGTATTTTTTACTTCCTCGATTAAAATCAAGCATACTTCGTTAAATAAAATTTAAGAGCAACTTTTATTATTTATGAAAAACAAATTTCCAAGGAGAAAAACGATATAAAAAAAAGTAGTCCTTTGAACAAATATTTTAAACAAGAGTTGTAGATCTCGATGAGATACAAAATTCTTGTCGAATATGTTTTTTCGAGTAACGAATATTTCTCAAGAATCACTTTCTTCCAAACCTATTGCCGAACTTTTCTCGTCAACAGTCGAAGTTTCGAAATATGTTTTTACCAAGTAATTCCTTTTCTTATGCAAGTTTGCGTTCTTTATTCGTTGCTTTGTCTCTCGCTTCTTTGAGAATAAGTTACCAACCGACTTTCATCTTTTGGCTTGCAGGTCAACGGAGGGCCCCGGGAATCCTTGAAAGACAATAGAAGGAACCCAACGGAGAAAAGGAGAAGGCGAAAACTGTCCGTGTGATCCTGCCGAATAGAGGTCAATGGAGCCATCCTGATGCAGGCTGCAAAACTACGTGGGGATTACCCGTCGTTGTCATCGGGCTGATTTCAACGGTGAGCAGGTGGCGATTCCACCTTCGGGTGGAAGCGCCGTTTTCATCACCGCCAACGGCGAATAGTACAGCCACTTCCGCTTCCTCCACCCCACGTGGCCGAACCATTACCTGATAAGGTTGGTCCAACAATTTAATCGCACTTGCAAAAGGTTTCTTTAACTACAGCTAGCGGCTACGATTTCATCTTCTATCGTGATTTATGATAATTGATTCGATTAACGTCCATAGGAGATATATTGCACAAATAAATACGGTCTCGTGCAACCGTTATCATACACTTAATTCACTATTTACTCATTAATTAATGAATAATTTTCTGATTGGAAATTTTTTAAATTATATTCAATGGTTTGGGATCAGCATGATTCTTGTAGCATTTTCATTGATCGATTTATTTACGAGTTTTAACGCGTTGAAAGAAATTAAAAACAAAATACTACTGCAATGAAAATTCATATTTTTGGATACTGAAATTGAAATTATAAGAATAGAGCATTGTATATTTGCTATTTCATGGATGGTTTATGTCTTATTCGTTATTTTCGAGATTTTTATCCATATATTTTACTCATATTTCCTCGAAATGACGATCAATTTCTGAAATCATTATTGAAGAAATCCACAGGTATATTTTTAGCAGGTCGCTTTCGAGCAAAAGCGAAAAACCATAAAGTTTTCGCTAAGTATTACCAGCATCCAAGAATTCGTTTATTGACCTTGCGTTTGCACGTGTGTCCAATAATAGCTTCCACCTCGACTTTCCTTTGATCTAGCATTGCTCACATAAAATGTTTATCACTATTCAAGCAGACAGAGGGTAATTGCGTCTTTAGTGAAATGAGACTATGAAAATCCACTCGAACCCGATAGTTTCGGTAATCAATGATTCAACGTGTTTTCGCGATCTAAAAATATAAATTACCAGGACCATTTCTACGATCAGTGTAATGGCTGAAATCTTGTTTTACCAAGTGGATAATTTACCATTCAAAACATTAAAGTTGTAATTTCTATATGTATATAAGTTTCTAGTTTATCAGTCGTTACGTTTTCCAGCATGTTGCATATTTTCTTTCAGTTGGAGAACGTAAACTATAATAATGCGCTCGTATTTGTCTATCTCGTAACAGAACATCGAAACACTTCAGTGTGAATTCAATTATTAAAGTGCTTTTATCGCCGCGTTAATAATCTCCTTCACCGATAATATGATTGGAGTGGTCGATAGCCTTTAAAAGTTTGGAAAGAGGATACACGATCATGCCAGGAAAGAGAAGGCATTGTTGCAAATGTTTGAAATTTACAAAAAATGTTTGAAATTATTGAACAATTATGGTAACTTGTAAATTCTGAAACGTATCTTTATTGCATAAATTATGGTCCGTGTGATTGTGGATTGTCATACAATTTTGAACTTTGAATATTGTTTATTATTAATAATATGAATTTCCAAAAATTTTATTCGAACCATTTGTGAAACTAATTATTATTAAATATGTATAAATGGAAATAAATCTTTGTATGAATACTTTACTGGCATTTACAAACTTGGTTAAATACGAAACTGAACTCGAATATGTTTTTAACTCTGTTCACAGAATGTAAAATATTAAAAAAGTACTCGAGTTATCGATATACGAGTATCAACGAGATATATGTACGCTCGAGATGACTACAACGCCATTTTCCTTTGAATATTTTAAATATTCACACAATATTTAATTTCGTTTCTTTCATTTTTCCGCTTTTCTCTCATCGATATTTCCGCCACATGCCAAAAACTACTGAGCGTACGTAATACAGCTCCCCAGTTTCAGTTAGCGTGTAACACATTTTATATTGTTAAGCAGAAAAACGTTCCCTACGAGTACAATAATCTAACTGAAACCGCCTTTGCACCGTGGCGTCGATGAACAAAATTTCATTCATTCCATATGCCTTCGTCCACAGTCCCACAGGGACACGAAAACAAATGAAAATTCATTCTGTTCGCAACCGGACGGCTTTCGATTGAAAAAGTTCGCATTCCTTCCTCCTATCTTGTTTATATCGCGCTCGTGAAATTACATCAGCGTACGAGTTTCCGCAGTGTAAAATTACAACTCTACGTTGTACCGGAATGCGAATCATCAATTGCAAACGGTTTTCCAAAAAGAGATTAAATAGTGATATGAAATAAACCAAATTATTTCATTCACAATTAAACTACACGGGATTAAAATTAAACGTGAAGGTTACGTCCAACCAAGGAACCAGGTAAAAGGGAAGAGTAAAAAGGAAATGCATTCTAAGATCCATTCAATTGTAATTTCTTATCGTCCACAGACAATTCACCTATAATTTACATTCAATGATAAATTACTAAGTTGAAGGAGTCGATTTCATCCTCCATATTTCTGGGAAATAGAACTGGGTCACAATTGGTTGGACATATCCCTTTCAAAAAGTTTTCGAGTTTGATAAACTACCGTTAGCCCCCGGCATTTCGCAAACTATGAAATTATTGGATCTCCTTCATCTGTCTTTAAAAACCGATATGACGCCTCAGGCAGTACGTGCATCAGATGAGGTTCAAAAGTCTTCAAGTAGTCATTAAAACACGAAACATTCGCGAAGCGTGTTTATTTCACTTTTCGATTTTTGCAATAATATTTCGCGAAATTTGCGCGAGCAATTTTTCTCGAACATCGAAAACCGTATATTTTATAAGATACTAATGTTTCTTATCGGTAGAACTTTGTAGAGTTACGATAGTCATTTGACACAGAACCCATTACTTCGTAGCTAATATATTCGCAAATTAAGAGGTTTGTACTTCACACTGAAATATATAGAAAAACTAAAATAAATTTCAAAAGCACTAGGAATTATAAAAAAATCTCAAACAGACAAGTTCAGAATTTCAGAAAAGAGTATCATTTAAATACTATTAAAAGATCTTGTACGCTTGACGAATAATATTAAATGTTTTATTAAAACATTAATAATAAAATGACTCGTGAAAAATATTTATTTATCTTTTAAGATATGTATTTTTAAATACAGGATTATTTATTATCGTACGATTATATAGTTTTTCTTTTTTTTAATTTTCAAAGAAGTCTCTCTCTTCAGATACTTACAATAGAATGCATATTTAATAATTATTCCAAATACATTCCCATAAAAAAGATAGTGTTTACAACAGCTATAAAAGCTGTACTTGATACTCGTTTTTCGAAATGACAGAGAACTCGGCGGTCGAAGGTGTTGGATGTCCAAGATCGTATCGAGCTACTCTCCTTTCAACCCTATTTTCAATGCGTGAAAGGGAAAACTAAATTCAAGGCGTCGAATCAAAAGAATGCAGCGGGTGGGTGAACGTTACGACATCTTTTGAAGTCGAAAAGTTGCTCACACTGGGGGCTTTGTGATAGTGAACATTGTTATAATGGAAAAACCAACCGGTGTTTGTCGAGGGAAGTGAACCGAAGCAATTCTAACTAGCAAACATTTCACAGCGCTGCCATAGGTCTTCAATAACAGATACAGGCTGGACAAAATTCCTTTTTTTTTATTTTTTATTGTTTTATATACGGGTTTTTGGCGTTTTCTCCAATATTTGATAATTGCTTTTCTACTGCAATAACGATGAATACAATTAAGTAATAAATATTACCATACCATAAACACCAGGCTATTTGCGTTAAATACAGTTTTGTCATTAAATACGCAATGCCATATTCCGCGTTAAAGTAGACAATTCGGTGTTATGAATTGCTTTAATAACAACGCAGTTCGTAATACCCCGAATACGTCGAATTACTTGAAAGTTCCTTCTTGTCGTAGCAAATGGATGCCACTCGCACATTTTCCAGGTCCTCGTGTATACGTATTATGCTCCTACACGTCCTGTTCAGCATGTCGCGCCAATCTTAATTACTTTTAACGAAACTAGGTCAGATTCAAAATTGTCGCTGCGCTTTGAATAACATTTTAATATCCCCCTTTTTTTCTTCCCGTGGACTACAGTGCTAGAAGGAAAAAAACATTTTTCGTTATTTTTTTTTTAACTGCGACCGTTTCAATTTACTTTTTAACCTGTCCAGTAACATTTTACAAAACATTTTTCGAAAGCTTTACTTCCCGAAGTGTTTGGGATGTTTATATCAGGACAAGAACAATAGGAAGAGAGCGTCATCAATGCTTTTTTAAGAATGGATATTCTCTATCGAGTCCATTCGCGTAGTGTTAACTGTACGGTGGTAATTGAAAATAACAAATCGAGCCACAAATGATCAAAATATGAATTAGTAACGTTGAGAGCACAAGCACGTTATATTCCGCAATAATTGAAAATGATTAAAACACTTTCTAGCAGGAACAGCCATCCGTTAAATAGTTAAACCACAATAGGAAATTGCTCGTTTCAGCGTTTATAAATTATCGAAAATTCCTTACCACATATTTGCTAAATATAATGCATATATTGTTACGAGTAGAAACATTGCGAGCGTATTAGGTGTAAATTTATTTCTAACTCTACTTGAAATAACCTCGATGAAAACACCGAGTTGACTTATTAGACTGTAGACCGCTGCTTCAGAGCTATCAAAACGGAATGTTGAGAATTTTCGACGGCGCAATTCCATCTTTTGTTTGCTTTAACGAGAAGGAAAAGAATAACATGCCAAGGGAAATTAATTTCGCAATAAAACACCGAAGAAATCTTTTCATGTAACTCGTTACGCTGGTAAAAAAATAACGTGCACTAACATTAATGTCGGGCTACATTGTTTAATTAGAGCTGGAGAAGCGGCCGCAGCCGCAGCCGCCTCGGAGCTCTGAGGAGCTGGAGGATCTGCACAAGTTATTGCACTTCCCCGAGGAGGTGGCGCTCAGGTTGACGGAGACCGAATACCAGCTGTTCTACCAGGTACCGCCCCAGGAGTACCTAAGGCACGTGGCACAAGATCAGAACACGCAGAAACCACCTGCCAGGCCACCCCCGTCGCCGAGTCACAGCTTCAGCACTCCCAGCACCGCCAACAGCTCGACCCAGACCGAGGAAGAGTCGAATTGGCCTGTTCCCAACATTTTTTCTTCCGTTCAGACACTCATCAATCGCTTTAACGAGGTAATTCAATACTTGATGAAATATTTCGAAAAACATTTTATTATTTTTACATATTTACATTCGAATCTTCCTATGCAGAGCTTCCTTAAAAACTACATTCTTCTTTTTCTCTTCGGTTTTTTCTTGCTTACTCGCCTTCTTCTTTTCGTTCAGATACTCGTCAACTTTACGACGTCAGTCGACGTTTAAAGAGGTAAATCTATATTAAACAAAATATTTCGAAAAACATTTTTGCACTTTTATGGATTTTTATTCGAATCATCCCTTATAGAATTTTTCTGTATACAAATCTCTTTCTTTTTACTTCCGTTCAGACACAGTCAATCTCTTTAACGTGGTAACACTATATTCTTTCGTACTGTATTCTCGTATGTTGTGAAAAAGTTTGCAAAAAGAGAGCTTGAAATTAATTTTTTCTCGTTATTCATTCCACCACAATAGCATAACAAATATGAATCAATGGGAAATGAATATAATAAAATATTAATCGATGGTAAATAATTTTCAAATTGATTGGAAATGGTAGAACCATTCGTGCAAAATTACATTTACTGGAAATTTAAATACGGCAACGTTCAGCAGGCGGTATTATGATTGGAAAAACCGTTCTCATTAAAAGTACACAATCATTGAAATATCGAATTGTGATCAATGTAAATATTATTTCAGGGCACTTCAGTCCCAATCATATAAAACAGAGATACCAGCGAGTAATCAGTATTAACGTGCAAACAATGTATATATAAAATAATTGATTCCATTCAATTTTGAGAGTGTAACATGTTTTGTTTCTTTACTTGAAGGTAATTATAGCTTAAAATGTATTTCATAATGTTTAATTTAAACAAAAATTAATAACGCAGAAAAGTATCAAGCTTACTTTAACATTCGCCGATCAACAAACTATATATTTTCTTTATTTCCCATAATTTCTATCGAATATACTTCCATAGAAGACATCTAGATTTAAAATTGCATTATGCGAAACTGCTTTCACGTATACTTATTTTTACTTCCTTCAAATTTGCATTCAGGTCACAAATCAAAATGCACCACGTCTCTATGCAGCTTATGAAAATTCATTTCTTTATAATCTGTACACTTTGTAAGAAGCATACACCGCTTCATTCATAATGTCTCAATACGATTCGCGATCGAAATAATATATTCCCGTATCCAATTTAGCTTTGCAAATTAACTTTTGTTTCACGTCCTGACTGCAGAGAAAATAATCCTCTATATTTGTTCGGCTAACTAAAAACATTCAGAAGCAGAACACAAAGCAGAAATATTGTTAATGTATTAATTTAGCAAACGCTCGTGTATTATGATAAAGTTTAACAATGAATTTAGAAAAATGTTTATAGTTTGAAAAACTTGTGGAGTTAGTAAACTGTCAAAAACGCATTAGAAGAATTACCTATTTTTCTACAAAATTTTATAAAAGGATAAATGATAGACGACGTTCGTTCTGTCTCATACGTTATGGCATCCATCTTAACCGCTGTTATTGTTGTATGTTACTCAGGTGAGCTCATGGGTCACCCAAACGATACTAAACGGCGCGACGATAGAAGAAAAACAGGCAGTGCTGTCCTGCCTTCTCCGAGTGGCTCAGACCTGTTGGAACATTGGAAACTTTAACTCAGCCATGGAAATTGTTGCCGGCCTCAAGTAAGGATTAATTGCCTTATTTACTTGGTTGTCACTCTGTTTCTATTATTTCGAATGTTAAATTGTAACTGCATGGTAGTATTCGTTTCGTTAGCAAGTGTTGATTCTAATCCTTTGCAATTTATTTATTTTTCGCAACTTTTCTTGACAAGTTGCGAAGAACCTTTTCGCCTAAGAAAATGTGACAATCAACAAAATGTCCAAAGGCTATTCCAAGTCGTAAAATTCCAATAATGTTCACACGAGTCCGTTGGATATGATTATCTTAATGGTAACATACTAAATCGTGTACCACAATTTCAGCCGAACATGAGCTTTTTAATTAAAGACCAATTATTCGGTAAACACACAATTAACCCAGATTCCTCACGCCATTAACGTGGATCAACGTGCAGATTAATCCCTGCATTTAAAAACACTGCCCCTCGTTTCGCCGTATAGACGATACGCCCACGAAGAAACGTGTAATTCAATTTGCCTGAAATTGCTAATAAATTGTGCTACCCAGATGTAGCGAGATTGAAAATTTGTTAGAATCGATTATCGAAACTGTGTAATTGAGTTTACAGTGTCAGAGACGAGGGGCTGTAAAGGAATCCATTGAATGGTGACAATGAACGTCTCAGGGGGCATTATTTTTTCCTGAGTTTACAAATACATTGTTTTTGTTAATATTCTTGTTGCCTAAGGTCTTCGCAATATTTTTACCAAATTATATTAGAGACATTTCAAAATTGCCAAGGTTATAACTGTTTATATCACGAGCCATTCTGCTAGACTGATCCATTGACTAGACTCGCTTAACGTGACGTAGAATATCGTATGTAACTTATAAACAAATTCAACAGAACGGTCGAAAATTTTAGAAATTCTTGCATATACAAATATACAATTAAACGTACCAAGTTGTAAGAGTTGATGGTTGCCTCAAAACTGGTCAAGAGAAAAAGAAGTAACCTTTTCAAGATCACGATCGAAGCATGGTCGCGTGGAAAGAGCCACGAGCTTGTCGAAAAAAACTATCGATTCATCAATCGCGACACTATTTCGCCATCCAGAGGCGTCTAAACTCGGTAAATGAGTGGCGCACAAATTGAGTGAGACAAATCGTGCCCACCGTGAAACCGTCGCCGCTTCCTTGTTGTCCAGGCGGAAAATTGAGCCACTTTTGGACAGGCTTGTTACAGGGGATGAGAAATGGATATTGCACGGTAATGTTTCTCGCAAGTCGGTGGATAAACATCGGAGAAACTGCCGCGCCCATTACGAAACAAGGGTTACCCCCTAAAAAAGATTATGTCGTGCGTATGATGGAATAGGAAGGGAAATGGAAATTATTTTTACTTAACCAGAACGTCACGGAAGAAATTTACAACTAAAAAGTAATGGAAATGAAAAATTGTATTTAAAAATGGCATGTTATGAATACCCATATTGCGCGTGTTATGGAAATTGAAGTTATCCCATGTTATTGTGTGCAGTTTAGGAAAAATCCGGGGGTTAGGAAAGTATTAACATTATTACGATACATACATGTATGCATTACGTGACAGTAGACGCGTTAAAGGCAATTTCGAGCTTTTCATCATCTCGCAAGCAATGGAAACAGTATTCGACGTCGAACAATTTTCTCGAGTCAAATGCAAGGCCACGTTAAAAAGTCTGTTGTATTTTTGAGTCCGTATTCATTATCGATAGAAAGCATAGGAGAGCCTGTCAATCCCTGACTCAATTAAATTAGTAGATTCCAGGTGTCGGGCCCTGATAAAAATAATTCTACAGTCATAAGAAGAAAATATTGTTGACAATTCTTATCAACGTATAATAGTAATTTACGTCCAAATAACCAGATGAAAATTATGTTTTGTTTTGCATCTTATAAACAACAAAAAAGTTAACTGAACAGAATAAACACTAATTAATAATTTATAATTTATCCCCCAAACCAATTTCATCTCTGTCTAAAGTATAATTAATATTGAACAAAATAAATTACAGTGATACGCTACCTAAGGCAGTATGACATTGTAAAAATAACAGTACATTCCATTTTCTTTAATGAAACATATTAATTTTTCTCTCAGAACCGAGAGATACAACTTTCATCATACAAGGCGAATGCAGAGCAAATAAGATTCCTTTCGAATGAAATCACTTTTATGTCGTGTTGTTGAAGCTTGAATAAGAAAAAAAAGGCACGCTTAAAGGCAACCCAGGGAGTTACGTAAAGCTCAACTACATGCGCATCGTTACGAGAACGGTCCGACATCAAAGGTGCAAACGAAATGTTCCCCAGTAATCATTCAACGAAGGTACGGCCGCAACGCCAAATCATCGCATCCGGCGCTGAAGAATTCACCGGTATCTTCTTGTCATTAAAAGCATCCAGCTTTTTACATGTCTGCCAAGGAAACAAAGTCCGCTTTCAGTGGCACCCTGGTGGTCGGTTTGCGAAGGAATCTAGAAATAAAGTAGTTTTTATTGCCGGCACTGTAAAACCAGCAACCCTTGCAACCGCGAACGAGAGAATAAAACCTTCCTGCTGGAGCATCGTCTTAGACCAGGCCATTGTTTTCAATGACCGTATACCTTGAACGTGTTCACAATTTACGCACCCCTCGGTATATGTACATATCCGGACGTGTTACGGTTTCGAGAAATATGCAACGAACCGAATGGCTGGAATTTTATCTACGCCGTGGCACCGTGACCTATCAATTCAAAGTATCTCAATGGTGTCTTAAGAGTAGAAGTCACGTTGGACGCGTGGAAATTATAGCTACACCTATATTCAAGAATTATTTTCTCGTAAACCATTGGCTCAATAGAAGATCCGTTTGGTGGGGTTCATTACACGTATATCGAGAAATAAGAAAATAATATGAATAAAAAAATATATTTGAACAAAATAGCATTGGTGGAGCCAAAACAAATGAAAGTAATCAACGCCTCAGCAATCAATTGGCCATGACATTGGATTATATCTTGCATGGCTTTTTTTTAGAATCATGGTTACAAATCCACGTTTTGTTGCACGTTTCTATCCTTTTTGTTATTTGAATATATCTTTGTTAATAGAGTTTATATACAAGTATGATATTTAAGGTTTAATATTGACCGCTCTTTGTATGTACGCACACTATACATTTCATAAATTCATTTCAGTAATAAATCAAATTCAATTAATTTTTTCGTGAGAAAAAGATATTAACCACACTTTTGCAAACATGTAAATATATATGTATATATCAAAGTTTGCATTGAGATTGACAAAATATTTGTCAGTTTTCAAACTTGCAAAATTCATAAAAATTCCAGCAATCGAGTGCAAACGTACCTCCAAAGCAATGAATTAATTTGAAATTATGCATTTCCGGAGTAGGTGCTTATTAGCATTTATAACATTCAATAATGTGTAATGTTCGTGTATTAACGTCTATGATATACATTCGACAATATGAAATACGCACTTATTAAAGTTTGTACACTACAAAGCGTTTACTTATATTAAAGTTTGTACATTGAGTAAAGTGGAACATTCTCTTTCCAGGTCCAACAAGTTAAAGCCATTTTGGCATAGCGTGAACGAGCCCATTCCAGTTTTGGAAAACCTCTCCTCCGCCCTGTTGTCTCCTGAATATGACTTCGCCCTCGCTCGCGCTTTAGCGATGCCAGAATGTCCTGTGATACCGTTCTTCGGAGCCTTCCTGCGGGAATTGCGGGAAGTCATCGCTTCCGAGTCCAAGGTAACCCATTAAATTTTACTTCTCCGTAATTACTAGACCTTATCAAGGGGATTGCCGCACTGGAACCTTGAAACTTTTGCATAGATCATTGGGGGAATTCTGCCAACGAATCGAAGTTTCAAAGTCAAAACAAGACCGTGCTTAGCATTTATTGCGTCGTACCTAATATACGTAAATTAATATTTGTCTCGAAGGTAACAAATTTAGATTCAGAGAAACTAAAATCGTATCGAACATTCGCTTAATTAATAATTCTAGCTTATGAAAGTGATTGAAAAGTAACGGATCCCATTGTAAACAAAAATGTGGGAACAAAAAATAAATTCTTTTCGAGTAGGACTGTGTTTGCGAGCAAATCGAGTTGAAAAATTCGTATGCACCCACGTGGTCGAAGATGGGTAGAATTTTATTCAAATAATCGATGACGATTGAAAACAACGTACGGTGATCTGTTCGTGACGTTTATTTGATTTATCGGTTGCGTTTCAAACATTTCAGCGTGAAACAATTTCATTTCTAATTCTAATTTCTTTTCAACGCTTAACGAGTGAAAAACTGCTGGTCGTTTATTAGTCACTTCAAAATTTTGTCTGGATGAAGATTCATATCGATGATACATTCACTCAAAAGTATAACAATTTGTATTTAGGATTTAATTTTTATTATTTGTTTTGTTTTTGCTGTATTAGAAAGCTAGAGTTTACTACATTTTCAATGATAAATAGATCACTCAGTTTTTTAATATTTACTCTTCACATGCAAAAGAATTGCATTTGAGGAATAAGAGATTAATTTGAAAACATTTAGAATATTTCTAATGTGATTATTGAAATTTGGAACACAATATCACGACCCACGTTCAGGTGAGACACTGAAGAGTAAAACAAATTATTAATTAAAGAGGAAATGCTGAAGGTATTAAATTCTCATGGATTAATTATTTTATCGAAACGCGAATTGTAAAGTTCGATGGCACTCGTGTTGCCAGTCATTCACACGCACCGTATCAACGAGTACCACTTCTGGTTTTTGTATTAATAATTTCATCTACGAAAAGGTAATATAATATTGTACTGTCTCTAGGGGAATTAAAGTATGGTACGCTTCACAGTCACCTAATACAAACTAATTATTCATGGACTACCGTGTATAGATTCATCAACAATAGAGCTAAACTAAATGAAAGAAACTAATGCAAGGCTCAGAGGATACATTTAAGTTTGGAATTAGTTTAAAATTAAATTTACATTTCAATTTAAATTTGAGTAAAATAAGGTTAATAGCATGCAAATGAGTATTTATATAGAATATAGTGGAGCATAATGCTCGCAAGATCGAGGCAAGGCTATGTACTCCAAGCGATTAAGTTAAAATTTTATTGATAAAAGCGTGAAACTTTGCAAGCCTATTATCCATATTTAATTAGTCATCCTAATCGTTGATAACTATTATTACACTTAATAACTATTGAATGGATTATCGGATTTCGATTTCTCCTGTTTTGTGAAAAATTCTCTTCGAGACGAAACATTTTAATCTACACAAATTCTTCTCTAAACTTCAGCCTCGCAAAACGAGTACGGATGTTGTAGCTTTTGCACTGAGTTACTTAATTAAGTATTCTAAGTCGTCGTCTGTGAATTCCTTTCGGCATATAAGAAAGCTTTTGCCTCGTTGACATATGAATGGAATGACTGGAGCATTAGGAACAGAAAGATCTTAAGTTCTACCAGCTTTTCATACGCTAACAGGCTGTAGTACCACTTCAAAATTCTCAAGAAGAGGTAAAGTAATTTCCCCGACAATATGGAATGGTTACCCAAGAGTGACGCACGCTCCCTGTGTTCTTTTCATCTCACCTTCTTAGAAGAGGTTGATTCTCCCATGTCTTCTATTGAAAACTTCGCCATCCTATCGTACGATCGCTGTACATAAGAAACAAAACAAACGAAATTATGTTGTTTACAGATAGAAATTGAAATTTGAAATAGATTCTACAATTGCTATCCTTAAACAATACGTCCACAGAGTAGCTTACCACGCCTGAGAAGGCGAGATTTACCTACAGGTAAATGATTCAGAACTAACAACCATGAAGCACCTGAATTCATATACATTTATTATTTTCATATATAATTATACTTAAGTGATAATCAAATAATATTCAAGGAAGTTTTTAGCGAAGCATATGCAAATTCAGGAGAAAACGTTCATTTATTTTAAATACCATTAGGTGGTTTGAACTTTCAAAAGGTAGCATAAATATATTACACATATTTAGTACACCAGAATATGTAAACTATAGCGGTATATCCAAAATACTACGAAATGTGCAGAATATGCAGTAAAATCAAAATTCTGTATGCGCAATTTGAATAAAGTATGCAGTACGTCCATTACATACAACCAAATTCATCCGCGAAATGCCATGATAAGTATTATGTATAATGAAGTACACTTTACTCACACGACGCTTAATGTACTTGAATAGTTACTTAATTATCGCTATCCTACCGGTATATTAGTTTGTTTGTTCTTTTATATCTGTCAGAATTGATTCTCGAAATTCAATAACACGTATTCAATAAATAACAATTTATTCGTTAGATTTATAATCTATTATAAAAACAATTCACGTTAGCATGATCCACTCGTAAGTCGGATTGTAATTTTTTAAAGAATTCCCACGTTTTTGAGAAAACGTTTTTAAACGTAAATCGATCATTTGAAATATGCAGAATACGTGTTTCACTTCTAGCGAATATGTATATACATTTTAAATAACGTTTAATGTTATAGCAATTGCTACGGTCACTGATAACTATACAAATTTTAATGGTGGTCTGACACAGTTTCTATGTATCATTAATAATTGTGATATTTCTGCAAAATTTAATAATATCTCGTTAACATTAGCATTGCCAACTATAGTAGTATGTGTAATAGTTAATAACTCTTTGCAGTCAGAGCCATGTCATTACAAAACGTGCAAACTTGAATTGCGTTGCATTAAATAATGTACCTTTGGAACCATGCAATTCATTCGAATGATATTTTATTTATATGAATCTTTAGGCATCGAGGTACACGTTTAAGAGAAATATTATATTTTTTTTTAATGTGTGGTAATGTATAAAAAAATCACTTTAAGACTACAGTCTCAAACTTGCTTGTTTATTTTTCTTAAATTGTACCATTTCATACATATTAAAATTCTTTTAGGAATAAATAAATTTTATATTCAAGGTTACTAATAATACACTTAACTGGCACGGTTAACAAAAATAGGCACGTGGATTATTTTATATCGTCGTGTAGATTTTCACGAAAAGTTTGTCAACCTCCAGTCTAAATAGTCACACGTGACAATGCTGTCCGACGTGTCACTGTTTTCCTATCACTTATTCACCCCTGTCGTATAACAGAGAGGTAGAAAGGGAGAAAGCGAGAAGCCGTGAGATCGAATGATTTTACAGTGAGCTACACGTACGATTTGGCAGCCGGCCAAGGAAGTTCTTCGATAAAATCCGAACATTCGCCGTGTCTCTGACGAAGCGTCGAACCATGGGATACGAGCATCGAACGAGGGCAAAGGTTACCCAGAGATGCGAAGGCTACTCAAATTACCAACCCTTTCCTTTCGTTTGAGTACTCTGAAGCGAAAAAAAAACATCGATACGAACTACTATGCGCTGAATCATTGAATCCAGAAGATACGTGTACATTCCAGGCTTTGCGCTCTTCGCGATTTTACAACCACTTTCGGCGATCCGCCTGCGATTGGAAAAGAAATCGAGAATGCATTTTGAATTACTGTTAAACATCTGCAACGTTTAAAGACGATGATTGGTAGACTGTGTTTTACAAAATACTGCATTAGGATAATTTGAATAGCAATAATGTGCGATTCCGTCATGTGGGTAATAGTATATTAGATATTGTAACTTAGTTACTAATATTAATTGTTTAAGATTTTTAACACTAATGTGAGTTTTACTTACGATTTTCCTTCCAATAAAAAAAAAATCAAATTCTGAATATCAGAATCAGAAAAAGAAAAATTTGTTTACTAACTGGGAAAATGTATTGATGTATCTGTCACCTGGGAAACAAAAAGTCTCAGTTTGAATATTTGTTGGACAGTTCAATTAACCATTCTTGTTCACGTTATAACTTTGTCTCGCATTTCGAGTTTCGTTTTACTCCAGTTTTCAATAGCAGACATTATTTCATTAATTAATTCCTCTTCTGCTTCTAATTACATATGGTTTACACGGCATACCGCGATTACAGTTTACAATGTGTTATGAGCCGTCGGATTGCAGTTTTTACATTGCATACAATGTCAGGTTTACAACGTTTAATATTTCCATTTTGTGTTAGAGAATTATACAAAAGTGGATCTCCGTTTCATAAAATATACTTTCACTTCTACACTAAAACAAGTAAAATTGCTATGTTTCAAGGAAGTAATAACTTTCCTTATATTTTCCATATGTTAATAATTGTTTGATTGTTAGATTTCGTTAAAATATTGCCCTCAGTCTTTGATCAGAGAGTCAAAACCTATAAATATGTATATAGGGCAGTGTCTCGTTTATTTTGATATAGAAAAATGTGAAACTGTACTTACCTTGAGAAGATTGAAGCAACGAGACCGAAGAATGAAGAAGAAATGTATGCAGCGACAAGGTTAGGGGTTTCTATCGGCCTCCAGCAGCAATGACGGTTGTAGGCCGGCGGAAACTACTTGCTCTTGTTGCTGAAGATCGACGCCTCGAAGAACTCCGAGTACTGGACTTACTTCCTTCAATACTTTTAACCCTTTGACTGCGAGACGTGTTTCCACATCCGTTCGAGCCACTGTCGTCCCTCAGACACACGATACGTCACTCGGTATGGTAGATCAAAGGGCAATCCGAACGTACACGTGATCAGCAGAAACGCGGAAGTATCCCGTGACAATAAAGCAATTTCAAGGACCTTGACACCTTGTTTAGCTAATCGATTGATCCACACACCAGGCATCCGCATCATAAGCCAGACCGTCGAGAAGTCCGCCACAACAGGGGTTGGGGGAGAGGAAGAGTAACTTCATTACTCATGCCACGCGCAGCAAAATCAATCTCTCTCGTCTCTTGTTTATCCCCCCAACAAATCGTGTTTTGCGAACGGTATCGCCAGCACCGCGTGACAGCTAATTTTGAATAGTACAGCAGACGAAAATCCTGACGTACTTTCAACCGCGATACGAGCAACAATTTCCAGTTGAACGTTAAAATTGCTATCGCGGGATGTTACCTATTTAACCGCTATCGATTTTGCGCCACCCACAACGTGATAATGCAATTTTATTGTGATCTTTATGGCCGATACGATTGAAGTATGTCTGTTGCGGAATTATTAGGAAGGATGAATGAATTGTTGTCGCCACTTGACGATGGAAATTGTTTAAGGAATACAAATTTATTCAAATTAGTTTCGATTAGATGAAGTTTTATTCGTTTCTAGCATAATACCTCATAAGTACTTGCGCACACAATAATAAAGTTATATACAATGGATTTTTTGTATCCCTGTAATAATGTCATTTGACATTTAATTGGTTAAACTGTACTGCTATTTATTCGAAGAAAGAAAACTTGATGAAAATAAAGACTATATTCAAAATTGAATCGAGGGAAGTAAAATAAACGTCTTTACAAATTGTGTGGTGGTTTCTGGCAATTCTATTGCAGCGTTAAAGTGATTAAATTCAACAATCTATTAGCAAAATGGTCACTTACCCAAGACTCAAAGTGCAAACGATCATTGAGTTCATAAAAGGGAATTGCTTTCGTAATAGAACACTGGACGTTAATGGGACGTCAACGGATGAAATTTCGACCGACGTTTTAGGCCAGAGGACGTCTTTACGTCTCCTTGTATACATTCCCGGGCTCATCGAAGTTCAATATTGTACAATAAAAAAAAATAGAAACACGATGAAATACTCGATGAAAAAATTAATTTCTGTTCCAGTCTCAGCAGGGCTGCAAGGACAATCGGGAATCCTCGCGCAGCAGAGATACGGATTCTGAAAACGTGTCATCCTCGGGCCATTCCACGAAGATCACACTGGATAGTATCACGGAATCGCCATCGGAATGTAACTCAAGAAATAGTTCCTTGAAGAAACAGGATAACACTCCTCTCCGTGATACGAACTCCATCCTCGAGAAAGTTGCCGAATTTCATAAGGTAAAGTAAGTTTACTCGACCATCCTCGCGACGTAAGACAGAAGAGTGACCGACCGTTTCTGTGTGCACGGGCCATTCCACCCCAAATCGAATCCTCCGATCTACACGACAGTCTATTCGCACGATTTTAAAAATAACCGATTTGTAAAATTGAAAACTGTTAGAAGGAAATATATACGAGCTGCAGGTGCGTTCCCGGTTATCTTTTAGTATCGTTGGTTTGTTAATAGTGGCATTAAATTATCCTCTTATTTCGAGAAAATCACAAACCCGTATTTTGAATGCTATATTATTAATAAACTATTGTACAAGACTTCTCCATTTGTCTATAGTGCAATAATCAATGTTAATTTAATTAGTTCATTACAACTTCAGTAAGATAGCGGAACCTTTTACCATTTTTATAGCTGCACGTTTCCAGCAGAAATTTTTGCTTGCCGTCGGTACGGCGTCTTTCGCGAGAATGCTAATGTAATGAAATCATCCACCCCATTCATTCATCCGGAATTTTTAAATTCAGTATTTTATGAATATTGAAATATTATGTTTGCGTAATTTATTTCTATCCGCACAGTCGCCCTGTCGATATAAATATCGGATCGAGATTATATTTTTCAGATGTGAATTTCTATAAATGGAAAAATTTATTCAATTTCCATCGATGGGCCAAAAATTGTTTCTGTGGCCAGTAGTGGATAAAATAAACGAATTAAATCGAGATACAACTGACGATATAGTTGACTGTAGATACTTTCCTAAATTAAATGGTATTAGATTTTAAAGCAACATGGATAGACTATAACATAAAGAACACGGAATAAAAATATAGTAATAGTATACAGATTGCCACGTCCTGTATATTAATAAACAATTCAATTAACTCTTGTATCATTTGATTTATTTCATGTTTTTTTTTTTGTTATATTTCTATCGTAATAATTATGATTCAAAAGTCAGATCATTTTTCATAACTCGAAACTTGAAATTTAAATTCTGTTACTTCTTGTCTTCTTATTTTAAAATAATAGAAGATATCCATAAGATATATACAGATGTATTTCAACAATTTCATAAATATTTTCGTGTCGTACTTGGTACATTTGAAAATACTGACAGCTCAACAACAATTTTTTTTACTTAATAATTCAAATTGGAAATGGAAAATACTGCGCAATTCCAAAGATCTGAGGGCTACCGTATGTGTAGGAATACTTTATAATGTGAGGAAATTGCTTCCATCATTTCCCTCGAATGGGTAGATTGCAACGCGTGTAAAAATGTGATTGCTAATCTAGCATTGACAGCATCAGGCAGTGTTCGCGAACACGAGAGATGGATAAAGAACGGAATTTATTCAAATTAGATTCATTAGACTCTACTTTTACAAATTGAATGCCTTCCTCGTTCGCTCGAAATGAATCCATACTGCTTCCTGCGTCAGAAGTGCGTTACCTGGACTGCGCTATCTGAAACAACAACCTGTATAAAAAGATAAAAAAGAAAACGGTAATAAAACGAATATGTAGTTCTGAACATGCAATATAAATTTTATTTCAGTGCCACGTGGATATTCCTTTTTGAATTTGCATATTGTAGCGACGTCGTGGTACGTCCATAAACTCAACCCATGTACAATTTTCACACTTTAGAAACTCGAATTTTCGTTCACACATCTATGTGACGAAAACACTTCGTTCCATAGCAAATTTTCTTACTTTAATGGATCGTCCTTCAGATTCATGAGCATCGATGACTCAAAGTATTTATTTTCAACCCTCTATTCGAATGTTTTTCTTTGCAGACAACTTGCGAGTCATTTATTTTTATATTTCAAGTTGATGGTTCTGCCAATCGTCATCAATATTCTTATTGGTAATCAGAGACAATATATAATTAAGACTTACGCGTTATCTTGTGAAAAAAGCTAAAATTCTTTGGAAAAAGGTCGATACGTTAGCACGTGACCTGAAAGTTACATGGGCCCATAGGGGGTTAAATTGCGAAATCTGGTTTTACAACATCACGTGAAAATTCCTTTCTAAATTTGCATATTGTAGCGACGTAATGGTAAATCCATAAACCCAGGTCATGTAAGTTTCACACTTTTGAAACTCGAATTTTCGCTTATGCGCTTATGCCATGAAAATACTTCGTCATATAGCAACTTCCTTACTTTAATGGATCGTACTTCAGATTTATGAACTCTGATCACTTGAAATATTTATTTTTAAATTGCGAGATTTGGTTTTACAGTATCACGTGGAAATTCCTTTCTAAATTTGCATATTGTACCGACGCAATGGTAAATCCATAAATCCAACCCATTAACTCAATAACAAACTATTCAAAACTATTCTTTTCTATTTTTATTTTTATTGCTAATTTTTCAGTCACTTTTTCAAGTTTTCCCACTCTTTTTCCTTTTTGACACAGTTGGACCATATGCGCAAGAAACTTGATCAAATATGGCCTGCATTGATCAATAGAAGACGACCCTGACTACTGTATAACTACGCCCGATCACATATATCACACATCACTGTTCAGAAACTGACCCAGCTGCGATATGAAACTTCAGCTCGTCCTCCATACCCTCCGCACATGTTGCCAACAAATTTTCAGTTTTTCGTACACCTGGAAAATTTGTCAAAGGGACAATTTTTATTTGTTTTTTAAATAAGTTATATTTATTTCAAATTAGCTTGCAAACTCGAGAAGCTGTGGTCGACAGAAAATTTGACTTAAAGCTTCAAATATATTTTTAATGATGTTGCAATGCTATAATCCTAATGTTACCTGCATTGCTAGAATAATTTATTGCGTCACTCGTACCATTGAGTACTATTGAGAAGCTGTCAAACTTGACAGTTCCATAATTTTGTTAAAATTCCCCAAAACTGTTACGACAGAAACTAAATTAAAGCTTGAACCTTCCACTTGTTGACCTTTTGGCTGACTTTATTTAGGTCGTGACGCAAGAGGGAGTTATCAAATTGTACAAATTTCTTGACGTTTAACGAGTGTTGCACCGTGGAAGCGACACCTTTTCTTATTTTGGTGTATAGTGTTATTAATGATCGATCGTTTTCCTTTTATATATTTATTTATATATGATAATTGTATTTACACTTTTGAGTTCAATTGTATTTAGAACTATATTACAATTATGTTTCATATAATTTTAACAAAGTCATGGAACTATGAAGTTTGACAACGTTTCGATAGTATTCGAGTTATGCTATCAATTTTTCTAGCATGACGTAACTGTCTTGTCTGGTAGAAATTCTCGTCATACATATCCACAGCATTTAGGCCGATTTGTAAATTGAGAACTTCCATTAATTTCAAAACACTATCATACCCATTATTAAACATGCAGGAAGCCATAATCACTGCTGTCTCAACTACTTCAAAGCCATTCGTTAGTCTCATCGATGTAATTTTCCAAACCACGCTATTCAGAATTACAATATAGTCCAAATTAATACTATAATCATCAATTACATTACAGAACGCGAAGATATTCTTCTAAACATTTATTTCATCACTATATCACTAAACTTTAAATAACTGCAATTTCTTTACCCTCGAAGTGATATATCGCAACCAAGAAAGATTAAATCAGAATTGAACGAAAACAAAATAAAAAAACAATTAAGGTGCAAAGGGTTGAAGTATTATTATTCCAAGGCAATAATAATGTCCATAATAAAAAATTCAAGCCGGCAATAAAATGTGATTGATATCATTCGTGACTCGCGCACTTAACACGCCTACTCCGAGGTATCCCGATAAGCTCTAATATTTAACGGGAGATCCACATAACGTGTCCAGCACTGATTTTAATGGGACTTGGTGGGTATCTGAAGGACCAAAAAATATTTGACCCACGTTCAGCCGTTTGCTCGAACATTCAACAGTTTATGAGATATTGAGCAATAAAGATGGGCGTTCCGCCCGCTGGTCCGACAAGTACCCATGGCAACGATATTATTCAAAGTAAAGTTATGGCCTCGCGGCTACGGTCGATGCTTCGGAATCGTGCAATCTGGGTCTCGGAGATTGGCGATAGTTTATTCGAATTATAGATGCCGAATGAAAACACTGTATAGCGATTCACGACGACTACTCGATCGAATAATTATACAGACCAGTTTCTGTTCGTTCGACGTAAGACGTAATACCAATCTCCAATTCAAATTATAATTCCCGTTTAACGTGTAACGGATTGCAACTTCTTAATCCTTGAATTGTTAATGCAAAAAAGGAGTTTATTCAAGAAGAGTTGTTTATTATTTTACCTGCCGTTTATATATTCGCACTAGTGGTGCTTTTATTGCAATCTGGTTTTGAAGGAAATTAAGAATATTGAATTGTCTACGAATATGTAACAAATATTGCGTATAAAAAATATCCAGTTTCTGTTGTAGTTACAGTTTTGGGAAAGCCTAGTTCATATCAAGTTGCACTTAACCCCGGTTGTAATGATTGTTACGTCCGTTGAATCGTAGCATATATCGAATGTCTGTTGCATTCGAAACCTTGTATGTATTATATACTATATATTGTAAATTACATATATTATTTACTTTACTTAAATAATAAATACAAAATTATTCAAGAGTATTTGTTCCCAATTATTCATTCAGATAAATGATAAATTTATAAAATCACCTCAAAAAATATCTCATGAACAGATATCTTTTAAAGAAACATGTAGAAGCCATAGCAGAATTTTTAAGCAATTATTATCTTTTATTCAACCACCGGCTGTTCTTTCAACCCTCTATTCTACGTATAAAATTCGCGGAAATCGCTGAACTCCATTTCATCCGTGAAAGTTTTCCTTCGCAGATTGTGCAAGCCCGTGTAAAATTCATGTACCGTATTGTCGAGATATCTCTAAATATTCATGAAATTATTGTATTTCCGTTTAGCATCGACATGCTCGAGGCAGAGATGCCACAACTGGTTCGCTCCATCGCACGCTGAGCATCCATACGACCGCGATCGAGCAAACCTACATGGCTGAAGAATGCGACGAAAACGACTACCACCTTGATCTCGATTCCTACAAGCCGGTGCAGCCAATCGCAATCGACCATGGGGTTGCGTTATTTCCTGTTGCTGCTCCTCACTCCGGAATGGATCTGCATCTTCTCCAGGTGAAAATTCAGATTATGTCATACTTGGACGAAACACTTCCCCGATACCATTTAATCCTTGATACGATATTTCTTCTTTTTGCTTCATCGTTTTAACTGAAATCTTTTCTAATTAGATTTGCATATTCTTCATTTCTTCAGTGTTCGTATATTATATCGTAATTACATCATAATTTACGTAATTAAGAAATTTTAGATTTATAAACCTTCTTATCGACAAGGATCACGTAGCATTTATCCTGCAAAGATATACTGCGTATTGTATGCATTTATCGCGAAAAATATTCTAGAAGGCATACCAAAAATATAGATAATACATGTTAAACATAATTTTCATTTAATAAAATAATATCGTTACTTTGCTTTGGATAAGTGCACATATCTTTTGGTGAAATTTTTAGTATGTATTTATTATATTAGTTTGTATCATAAATGCATCAAATTCGCAGTAATCCGAAATCAACATTTTAGATAGCACTCCATTACATTCCTTTACTACGTTTCTAGTAAATGAAATTCTTTCGTGCTTGAGGTACGAGCAATTCCTGTCCTATTTATTACTTTTGAAAGGGTCGATATATTATGCTTTCATAACATTCGTATACATCGTGTAGCATGAATCAAAACAGAAATTTAGTTGGCTGCAACAAGTTGTTAAGTATCATTCAGCGAAGTCCATTCGATTCAGACTAAATGGAATTTATTACAACGAAAAGTATCGTATATGAGCTAGTTATTTATTCGCATCGCGTGATGTTTGTACGCAAGCAGCTACTATACGGACCTTGAAGAGGAACGAGCATAAAGACGCGACCTTACCCTCGCATGATTTCGAAATATTAATATCCCAGCGTCCAGCTATTTTCCTAGTCGCTGGACATGTCGTAGCACTCGGATAAAAGGCACCGTCAGTTCTCTTGAGCCTCAAAAGGATTTCAAAGAGGCAAAGCCTGGCCCTGCTGCCTCGTGTATATCGCATAGAAATTCGCGAAGAAGAGAGACAGAAGATGGTCCGTGTGTAAGAAAGGAAGGCAGCCAGAAATGAAAAGGATTAAAAGTGGAAAACGACGAGGTGGGAAGTTAGAAAGGCAAAACCGGGTCATCCTCGCGAAGAAACTGTCTTCTTTGTTAATTGGCCATAATATCGGGGAATCTATAACAAATTCGACAACCTCGGGACAGGAATCAAACAAGGATCAGTTTCTCAACCTGTCAAAATGTAAATATTTCAACAAATCAAAACCACAATATGATAAATCATTAATGTGTAACTATGATAATATCAACACAAGAAATCAATACTACATATTATAGTCAGTTCATGTGTGATTATGGTAACATGTCAACTTGTGACTATGCCACTATGTCAATACGTTTCAACACGTATACTATATCAACATGATAATATATCATGATAAAACAACCTCTCTAAGATGTGCAGTTTAATGAACACCATTCACGAAACGTATGAGATACCTTAAACCAAATTAAATTAATTTACCTAATGAGTCTAATGACTGATTTAACACGCGCTAAATCGAAAATCCGTTGAATTGGGGTCCGTTAAATCGAGATAGCCCTCGCCTTCCGGCAAAGATAAATAATTTCACTTAAACACGCGCATCCCTCGCGTGCTTCTGTTAATGTCCACACAAACTGCACTCAGAGCCGACCGCATAAAAGCTGTTCTAAGTGCATTAGAAATTCCATCAGCGTTATAAACACACGCGCGATGCACGCTGCTATTGCCCGCGTGCTACACGTCATAGGACGATTTGGTGCACCGCAACCGAACCAGATACCACAGAAGCTATCTTTAATGGACCATAGATTACCATCGACCGAATCGTGTGGCCAGGTTTTTTTAGACGATTCCTTCTTTTTCCTTCACTTGCTGCGCCGAGATTAAACCTTAACTCATCTTCCATTCTGCAACTTAATCATGAAGTATCAAATCTCGTGCTTTCGAATAGTGTCGCACTAAAAGAATCAATATTGTCGTTGAATACGTAATATTGAGACGCCAAATTACACTAAAGATGAATGTTCAAGTAACTTTAAGATGTGAATATTCAACTTTGAATGTATTAAATTCATAATTCAAGAAAGTTACAAAAATGTGTAAATCCATATAGTCTATAAATTCTTAATATTAAATAACAGGCAAATAATTGTTTATATTATTCGTAATTCAAAATTTAAATCCATCTACGAATTTCGCCCATCTCTGGGTCAATATGATTTCTCGTTTCGTATTACTGAGAATTTTAAGCCTGTCCATTTACATATATGTATCACGAATTATACTTGGTTATGAAACTAATCAAATGATTACTCATTAATATGCATACGCATCAATTTGCAAATATTGTGTAGAGGTATCAGTCAGTTATCGAAATACGGCACTGGCATCGATTAGGTTGTACTCGACATTTCTGGTAGTGTTGATGCAATTAAATAAATTAAAATGTAATGCTGAATAAAATTAGTACTACCGAAATACTATCTTCTATCAAAGTCAACGCATATTTATGTCTTTTTAATTAAAGAAGGGAGGAACAACTCAATTTTTCAATAAAATTCCTTCTCTGTTACAATAGTTGTTCAATAAAATTCCAGTAAAAGTTATCGTGAATAATCGAGCGATTTTAAGAAGAAGTGTGCAGTACACGGGTCAAATTGACAGACTTTAGTGCTAAAAGGCATAATCCTAAAGCACTTCTTAGAAAACCATTTACTTATGAAAATTATTCACAGTCAGTCTCGTAAATATTCATACCCTCTTCGTCTATTAAAGAATTTGTCTGAATTAAACGATAGATTTTGATGTTTTCAAATAAATGTTTCATTATAAATATGTACATGGATAAACGTCACACATAAACGTCATATATATAATGAACAATTTATTTGAGAACATCTTGTCATTTAATTTAGACAAATTCCTTCAATAAACACAGAGAGTACAAATATTTATAGGACTGACTATATGTGTACATTAAATTCACTCCGTCCATTTAAACAGCTGTTGCTAATGAAAACAAAAATTTGTTTGCTCATCAGATGCTGCACCATGGAACAACCTTGGTGCATTGGGACTCCGAAAGCGGTACTACGAGGACGGCCTTGGTATTCGCGCGAGTAGATCGTGCTTGTGGTACCTTCGTTTGGGAAAAGCCACCTTGGAGTCCCCTGAAGACTGCTCAGATCGGCGGCGCAGCCTCCACGGATTTCTCGCTAACTGCCAATCCAGAGGACGTGGTACCAGCCGGTTTATCAACGAGATATGGGACTCAACAGTTGGAGTGCGCTTCCGTGACCCTGGAAGAAGGAGTTTTGGACCTAAGCCTGGTCAAGGAAGTGATGATCGGCTGCTGTGATCGCGACAGAGAAACCGATCTCAGAAGCATCTGCAAGAGGTACGGTCTACCTGGATCCGACTCGTGCATCGGCCTCATGTACGGCTCAAGCTTGCCGGACAATCGACTGATCTTTATCCTTTGCCCTCCTGCCCTTAGCAAGTGAGTATATCGACAATTCAAGCATTGCATGAGGGGAGATTTGCTGGTGAATATTTAATCTTTAACCACTATCACTGGATCGTGTTTTTGTCGAGAGAAGGAAGTTTCTGTTTGAAGAGAAGCAATTAAAGATAGTATCTTCTTCTGGCTCAATTTTAGACAGAGGGGTATCTGAATTAATACTCAATCTAGGTATTCCTGTGCCTCTATTTTAGGGAAAGGAATACCTAGAGCGATGGACATGAACTCTGATCATTTGTTTTTACACAGCACAACTCTCTTTTGTGAAGTTACATACGACCAAGTGGGCATTAATAGTGGTTAATAGTAGTTAAAGGTTAAGGTTCTCATGAACATGCTAAGACGTTTGTATAGTCGTCAAACCATTGTCAGTGTCAATTGAAAGCTGCTAATCGGACAAATGAAGTATGACTATTCAGTCAAGTACATAAAAAATCCACACGGCTCTGGAACTGCGTAACTCTCACCTAAATTAACTTTTAATGAATGACCTTGTTAATAAGGTACATTGGTACTACTACCATACTGTAATATATACCATCCTGGGTTAATTTTTTATGTAGAAGCCTCTAACCTTGATAAAGCTGATTACTCCTACTTAATTAATTATTTGAATATTTAGTGAGATCATGCTTTGTATACGGCTTAACTCATAACTTAGTAATTAACGCAGCGATTCGTACACGTGTGCATATCATGCGTTAGTTGTCGACGCTTTTGTTGCAAAGCAAATGATAAATCTCTCATGTAATCTTCATGGAGGTTCTCTAAACACTTACTTGAATTAATTGAATCTGATAAATTAACTTACTTTACATGTATGCTGAGCAAACTCAGCTCGAAATGTAAATGTGTAATTATCCAGTGCTGGTCTACGAATGTTCGTGAATTCGAATAACTTCTACGCGTGTGGTCTGTTGCAGAGGCAATGGAAATGATTATTATCTAAGAATGTTTCAGTGGTAATATGCTTTTTCATTTGTCCAATTAAATTACAGTTAGTTTACTGGCTGTTAAATGTACAAAAATACCAAACAATTTATATTGTCGCCATAAATAACAGCTATACAAATTAATTATTAACGTTAGCTTCTGTGATAGTATTAGATATTATCTTGGAAATTGAAGGAAATTGCACTAGAGAAATAATTCTTTGAAATTAAATAAATTAGAAGATTGTTCAACAAAATGACTTGGAAACTTGGAAACCAGGGTTACTGGACGTAAAATAATGATTGCTATTGTCGATTGCAGAATTTGGTACATGGGTCTCTGTTGGATATTGCGAGGCCTGAAACGACAACAACAATTAACGGACCGTAGGTCACGGTGGTTGAAAGAAAAATACCTTCAGCTTTATTTCGAAGAAGCTTGCCTTGAGCCAATGACTGCGGACGCTATAAGAGCATTCGGCGGTCGCGATTGGTCGATGACTGAAAACATTGGGACACTTTCGCCAACGAGTAGCACCCTTCGTAAACGAACCATTAACGTTAAGGGGAAAAAAACGAAATCCATTGGCAATATTCATGCATTAACAAAGGTTCGTAACAATTTTAAAATACACTTTAGATGTCACTTTTCCAGCAAACCATACTTTCGCACGAGCCTTCTTTCTTGGAACAAATTCTTGCATTTTTAACCGACTTCGAAAAGGAGGAGTTTACTCAATTCGACATGTATATATATATATTTTTTTAATAAATAATTATCTTATTTCATGAGAACAATCACTTCGTTACTTTAAAAATATGAATTTTGGAGTGTTGTATTTTCTTGAAATAAAGTTGACACGTGTGCTTGCACCCGAGTCTGACAATGTCGTGGTTGTTCGAAACAGGATTTGAGCCTAAAACAGTACGACTCTTCATCCTCGGATGGAGCCTTGTCAGCGGCCCCTCTTCGGCAGATTACGGGCAGCAGAGAATCCTTGACGAAAATCATACCGGCATCTCCACGGTCTAGCAGAGATCGAGTTCCCCCTCGCAGCCCCCCCGCTACTGCTGAACGAATTCTTAGCTCCAACTTGCCTTACTCCAGCTTTCAGAGGTAGGGATTTCAATAATTTACCATCTCATATACGCGACAAGTGGATGCGAAACATATTATAGAACATTTTTTGTTGGATCTCCAAACATTCGCGATAATTACGCAACGCTATCGATTAAGTGCATTACTGTTTCTTTGAATCGCAACTGTAGAAAGTGAAAATGAAAAATATTTTGCCTTTATTTTAGTACTCTAATTTATGGAATGATTGCAATTCCAAGGTAATAATCTCATTATTCTGTATATGCGAATTACTATATTATAATCACGATCCACAGTTTTGTCTATTGCCAAATATTTCAAGCAATGCCTCGAGAAATGTTTGCCTATACGCTACTCACTTTACCATCGGTTCATAAGCATAGCTCTCTAAGTTACTTGCAACAGTTACACCTTAAAATAATAGCAAATAAATGATTACCAGAAGATTTTAAATACTTCGATAAGTACAACTGTATAATGAAGATTCTCGTAATCTTGAAACTTCTCGACTCTAAAGTAGTCAGAAAAATTTCTTTAATTTCAGTATCGCAATTTTAATAAATGACTAACTTGAAGATCAACTTTAAAAGAAGTAAATGCACAATTAGATCTATGCAAATATAGCTTACGTACAATTACTGCATTATCACATTTCTGATGCTAGCTGATCTTCAAAATTAAACTCGTATAAATTTATGTTCAGATTTATTTCCACGTCACCAAGACAAAGAATCTTATTCTACACTTTCTATTTGCTTTTTTTTCATGTTTCGCTGGCTGGTTGCACTGCGATTTATCAAACACGTTTCGTATCTCTTGATTTATTGTCACGACGCTTTGCTGTGATATTTACCGAGCAGTTCCTCCCAACGTACACCGTGACGCAACCTGAATGTAATCATTGTCTTTTTTTCCTTTTCTCCAATTATATTCGCACAGCCTACTATGCGTCACCAGAGAGAAGGACAAAAACGGATCCGGAGTGTCGAGCGGAATGGAAGCACCGTGGCAAGTGAAGTCACGCACAACTTCTATAATGTACGAAACTCAGTTAAACTTCGTTGAGTTCGTCGCACTGTTCCGTTCGTTCAGCCTGAGAGCCCGAAAGGATCTACGGGATCTATTCAGCCAACTAGCGATCACTTGCCGCAGCCAGAGCGACGGTTCCTTGAGAGACTTCAATATACGTCCGCCGGTGTTGAGGCAAACCAGCGATGCGACACCTCAAAGAATCGGTTGGTTTTCTTGGCATTCCTCCGCGGTATAAAACTTTACGAATCTCGGGCGAGCACAGTAGAAGCTCTATTACGTGGATTAATTAGGGGACGAAACTGTTTAGTCGAGGGAATTGTCAAGTAATTGGACAACAAGTGGTCAGAACTCAATTTTACTTAGTACTTGAGACAAAATGAGGTAGAGTGAACGCAATTCGTTTATAAATGACTTTGTGCATGGAATGGAAAACGAAAAAGAAACACTATTGCACAATCCCACCTTTTAATGAAATTCAAGAAATTAATTCTCGAAGTTTTTATGGATCTCTTACTTTGTTTCTGCGTTGGGAGAACCACTGAAATACAAAAACATTCAAATCGATATCTTCCCCTAAAGTTTCTTAACTTGAAGAGGCGTCTATAAATAATTTTTAATATCGCGTTTCCGTTTTTCTTCTTTCTAATCTAATATTTCATATTTGCATTTATGTGCTTAGTTCACGTGAAACAAGGTGCTCTAGCTTCACAACCAGTAGTATTTACACGTTCTCCCTGTTGAAAACGATCACTCGACATAGAAACAAGTGTTTACATGTTGCCTTCAAACGCGGACCGAATAACAGCCCAGGTTTCTGTCATATTGTAGTCGACAGCGCTCGATAAACTTCAATCCGCGCTCGATGGCCATGTTGCACATACCGTTTCATTACAATCAACCCTTTGCAGGGATGTCAAGTATATGTTTTTCAGCTAAATATCGAGCAGCATAGACATTCTATTGTATACAAAAATTCCTTTTTCATAGTGTTCGCAATCACGTTTTCCGTTCGAGCTTATCTCATTGATTTCTATGCTTGAATCATTCCACAGATTAAACATTCACGATTTAAATATAACAGCTAAATCATTTTCTTTTTAATTGTTTTATAAGGTGTTGTGGCAAATTAATTTTGTTTTGTATTAAATAAAGGGTGAAAACTGTCTTTGTATGTACCAGTTACCTAATAATGTTAATTGGAGTTATTAGTCAACGAGGGGGATGATATTATAATTTATATAAATATGTTGTGAATATTATCAAATCGCAATATAATACATCTTGACATTACAATGAAATAATAAAAAAAATTAAAGGTCTCCTAACGAGAAACAACTCCATCGACTGTCACGAGTACAAAACCAGTAGCAACCTTCAGAAAAAACAAGTTTTCGACGCAGTCGCTGCCGCTAGCATCGTTAATAATTGTTCCGGCGTAGACACTTCTAAATCGCAAGTGATCACTCTGACGACGTTCACAAAATTTTTGGAGTCACGACAACAGGAGAAATTAACCGACGATGAGATTAAGACACTCGTTAAGGTACGGTTCATTTTATATCTGCATTTACTTTTCTTAAAATTGAAGTAAATTTTTAATGCAAAATTTAATTCTCTGACTGACAATGAGTAGGGCATGACGAACGTGTCTGACCATTACTGGTTACTACTACTTGCGCTTGGAGTCCGCTGCTACTAGCGGCGCCAATAGAAGTAGCGAGTAATGATCAGACATGCTAGTTTCAAACAAACCATTTTCACAAGGAAAGGAATAAAAACAATATGTTGCGATGGTCTATAGCCTATTAATTTAGCCTTTACTTTTTAAGTTATTTTAAACATTCTACTCTTATCCTATGATTGTATTCAATTTTAAGTATCTATCCATGGAAAAATTAATCCTATTCATAAACAAATATTTATTTATATAAACAATGAAATTATTTACTTATACATATTTATTATCTGTTGAAGTGTTTTGGTTTCCCTGATGCATATTAGTTATGAAAATCTCTAACAGATTAAAAATTGTATACCGATAATTCCCAGTGTATTTAATGGTATTTGTCGTTATAACGGGGTTACGCCATTGTATTACAATACGCATATGAAGATATGCCGGATATCACAATCACCCAGGACGATTTGCTCTGATTCTAGCGACACGAACCGGACCCAGCACTACGTACACAATGGTGTTTGTCTTTCGAGGGCTTTGCGAGGTACATGATGGACAAGGACAATTATGCTTTCCCAAACGAGTATGCGACGCCGTCCGAGACTGAAATGCAACAGCCATTGTCCCAATATTACATCGCCAGCTCGCACAACACCTATTTAACTGGGCATCAACTGAAGGGGGAATCTTCAGTTCAGCTTTACTCCCAAGTAAATAGAATTTTTTTTCGTGTAATACGTTATATCATGTGGTTCAACATTTAGTCATAAATGAGGAGCTTTAGTATTTTTACGTATTTTTCTTAATACTTTTCAGTAATTGAAATGAATAATCAAGATATTAAAAATATACAGATCAAAGATCTTAGGTAATACCTTGATAAAAACAATGTTAAAGGTGGTTTATTTAAATATTAAAGTTAGTAGTATTTAACAATGTTTTAAGAGTGTCTAGTTCGTATATCTAGTATATCTAATTCGTGTATTTATTTGCGATTTTATGATTTGTAAAGTGAATAAAAATATTCATATTGAAATTTGAATGGTATTTGTCAAATGTGGGTGATGCTCGTTAAAATTGTGGATCGACAGTAAACATGGATGTCAAATAACCGAGAATAATTAGCAATGGCGAAAAGTCAATTAATAATACATAATAATTCGTCACCGTGTAAATCCAATACTTTTCATTGCAAATGTTCACTCCAACTGCGATCAATACATTTAATACATTACCTGTAATCTGACAAATCTCTGTCATAATAATATTTTCGAAAATACGATTAGAATTTACACGAAAACTTTGTCCGAAATCAGAAATCAGAAGTTTTTACGAAAATCTGATATTTTTGCGATACCACCATTATCCGCTATATAGAGTACTTCACATGACAAAAAGTTTGCTTTGTAGGTACTGCAAACAGGATGTAGATGCGTAGAACTCGATTGTTGGGATGGCGATGACGGGTCTCCTGTCATCTATCATGGGCACACCTTCACTACCAAGATACCGTTCCGTTCAGTCGTAGAAGCGATTGATAGAAGTGCTTTTGTAAGCTCCCCTTACCCCGTGATTCTCTCCATTGAGAATCATTGTTCGCAGACTCAACAAGCTCGAATGGCTCAAATCTTCCAAGTACGTCGTTAATTATTATGTTTTTAAATATTTCATAGGAAACATTTCCTTACAGAAATCATTTTCACATTAGTTTACTTTTCATGTCAAAATGTATTAATTTTTGTATTAAATTGATGGAAATTTTTGGGAATATCACAAACTTTTATTGCTACAGTATTTTTTATATATCAAAATAGTTATCATTAAAATTGAAATAATTACTTCAATTGATTCAGAAAATGGGCATTTGGATAAACTTGTATCGATGTTGTTTCAGTCGGTTTTCGGAGAGAAATTAGTCACAAAATTCCTGTTTGAGACCGATTTCGGCGACGATCCTCAGCTGCCATCGCCATCTCAGTTGCGCTATAAAATACTAATCAAAAACAAGAAACTAGTGATGGATCCCACCGGCCCCCTAGCGCACCCTCCCTTGAGTCACCGCGGAAAAATGCTGATGTCCGATCGTGCATCGTCTATGAAACAGATGCGCACCGATGTGAGCACTGCATCGGTCGTTGAATATTTCAGCGAGGACGATGACGACGAGGAAGACGACGACGAGGACGATAATATCGATGGTAATTCTTACGTTTCTTTCATTACTACTTTGCATCTCGATTCATGTATTTTACAATCGAATATAATAGTCATTCAATTGTTTGACATTCTTTCTGAACAGTTAATTTCTGTTGTAAAATAGAAAATGCTTGGAAAACATTGACAGTTGATTTATAATGCAAATATTTGAATTTTATGTCTGATTTGTAATTTGTAATTACTAAGACAGTATGATGTAAGGGATAAAAAACACATTCAGATATAGTAATATTAAAAGTGATACTATACTCAAAAAGGAGAGACTAAACTGTTGATACTATTCTATACATAAAATCTTGTATATTTGCCAGTAAAGTTTCGAGAAAATCCAACTTTCAATACATATCGTGTATGTCGTATTAGAACTTGGTCAAACGAACCCTGCAAATGGATTCGAAACTATCGAATAAACAAAGTTATGCAATTACTTAATTGACGACGGAGTTAACGCAAAACTTTTACCTTCCAGATAACTCGATTTCCAGTTACGAGAGGTACTTGGGCGGAATGCAGGTGCCGCACGGTCGATTAAAGTCGGATTCTGCGGTCGATGACAAGTCGCAGAAGCAAAGCAGCCAAATTGCCAAGGAACTATCGGACCTGGTGATATACTTGCAGGCCATTAAATTCCGTGGATTAAACACGACGCCGGGGAACGCTGCGACTGGAAAAGCGCGCCATCAGCCGCACATAGGACCCGTCCAGAGGCATAGTATCGCAGGAATTGGAACCAACACCATAGCTGGTGCTTCGGGATCACCGCAGTCATTATCGACATCAGCTTCGCTAGCCAGCGGTGGCAGCAACATTGACAATCTCTTCAGGTTTGTTCTTTATGCGATAATATACTGTATAAGTAAAACATTTACAGACTTGGCGCACACGAATATTCACACAGTGAAATATTTTTAATCTATTGCTTCAGTCTGTATATTCATGTACAAACGTTGCATAAGACACGAAGCGAATAAAATTTCGTTGAAATATTTCAGGTCCAATCGCGGAGTACCTGCCTGCTTCCAGTGCTCCTCGTTAAATGAAAGTACAGCCAAGAAAATCTGTAGGAAACAGCCGTTGGGCGTTGTTGCTCACGCCGAGACCCAGTTAATTCGAACCTATCCAGCTGGAATGCGTATCGACTCCACGAACTTCAATCCAGTAATCTTCTGGGCCTTTGGCATTCAAATGGTGGCGCTAAATTACCAAACCGACGATGCTGGATTGAACCTAAACGCTGCCATGTTCGAGCAAAATGGACAGTGCGGATATGTCAGGAAACCTTCGGTGATGTGGGACAAGGGCCACATGATGTACAGGTACATACGACGACACCTTTACATTTAAATAAAAACAGTTTCCTACTATAATGTCATTACACGTAGCCTGTGAATTGTTTATTATTATTTGAGCTAATTCGTACAGTGTAATATCGTCTTAAAATATTAAACGATGTTAATTATATGTACATTAATTAGGTCAGATAAATGTAAAAAAAGTAAATGTAGAAATATTTGATGCCCGATACGATTGTTCTTCATCTCGTGCCACCGTTATATTCTATAATATATTCCATATTTCTAAATTAAAGATACACGTGCAAACATATTCTACAAGAACGTGCTCTTAATTTCTAGACGCTTCAATCCATGGGACAAGGAGTTCGACGGGCTGCACTCGGCGCATTTAACTCTGTCGATAGTCTCTGGCCAGTACGTTTCCCCAACGAATTTCGTCGCCAGTACCTACGTTGAGGTCGAGCTGGTCGGCATACCGATCGACTGTGCCAAGCATAAAACAAAAGTAATACAGAACAACGCCCTGAATCCGATCTGGAACGAAAAATTCTGCTTCCAAGTGATGTTCAAAGACCTCGTATTTCTGCGCTTCGGTATCGTCGAGGCGAGCTCCCACCATTTGATCGCTCAAAGAGTCATCCCTCTGAAATGCCTGAGGCCTGGCTACAGGCACGTTCGTTTACGTTCTTGCAAAAACAAACCGTTAGCTCTGTCAACCCTCTTCATTTACTCTCGTTTGGAAGAGGAAAGCCTCGACTACAACACTTGCTGTCGCGACCGCAAGGAGTCATCGAAACGTCCGTTATCAGGCAAAGAGCCAGAAAAACTGACCACCGTGGATCCCGGATTGGGCGGGGTAACATTGAAGAGGAGAATGTTTTTCTTAATGGTTTACCACGTGATACCGGACGAGCCGTACACTATTTTAAAAGTCACCCAAGAGAGCACGACACAAGAGGTGATGCTACAAGCTCTTCAGAAGGCTGGGATATCCGCGGACCGCGTCGACGAGTACATCCTCGTCGAGGAAGTGTCCCGAGGCTGGGAAAAGAGAGACAGAGAGGAACTGCCGACCCAACGCGTGCTGGATCCAACGGAACATCCTCTGCAAGCGCAGGCTCTGTGGAAGGGCCAGGGACGTTTCCTGCTGAAAAGAGTGGGCGACGATCCCAGCAGCAGAGCCTGGCTGGCGTCCATCAGAAGCACCGCGGGTCACTCGAAGCTCGATTCCGATAGGGACACGTCCACCCACATATGGGACGAAGCCGACACCTTCCTAGTTTGCATTTACAACGTCTCACCCGATATACCTTACGCGATTCTTCGAGTTCCCGTCAGCAGCTCCGCCCAGGACGTCCTAGCGCAGGCTTTGGTGAAAGCTAGAAGAATGGAGGACCCGATGAAGTTCGCTCTGGTCGAGGAGCTCGAGTGGGGCGGCACCGGGGCCGTCGGAAGCGGCAATCGTCAGCTGAGAGTCCTGCGCGACGACGAAAACGTCTACAGCACCCAAGCCTTCTGGAAAACCCTTGGGAGATTCATTTTACGCGAACGAGAACAGGCGATACCCAGGCGACACCTGCTGCCAGCCACCTTGGACAGACTCAGTAAGGGTTTTTCTGTTGGGAGATCGGTTTCCTTGCCAGGTTCCAGCAAGGAAAAGGTGCCTGTTTCAGAAGCGCTATCTGATCCGACTTCCAGAGGCCTCAGGCATCGCCTGCTAATGTCTGGCCGCAGGAGGGAGGTCCACTCCGATGGCGAAGACACCCGCGAGTCCGACATACTGAACGCGGCCCTTCACTTGAAGAAAGTGTCGCTTAGAAAGCTAAGGGTTTGGAGGTCATAGTGGCAGTCACGGGCGACGTCGATATCATCGATCTTCGCCGCTCGGAGAAACGAATCGTAAGTTAACGAGACCAGATCATTGCATTTGAGACGTAGAAAAATGTAACGAGGCCGACTGTTTGGCTCGAGGGATCTCGAGGATCATTCGCGTCCACTCTAGAGAGCTTCGTTGGCCATCATTTGGAACACCGACGCGCAACCGATGGAAATAAATTTAACGTAAAAATAACGGAAGCCTAATTATATGCGACACCACTTCGATACGCACGATCCGAGTCTTCGCATCATCGCTTGGAAACAAACCATTATTAGTAAATAGTACGATTGGTTGATACAGAGTTTGATTGGACGTAATGTCGTATAATAGATATTCGAAATTGGACAGCCTCCGAGGTGAAACGAAACGAACCCAAATTATGTTCAACTGATCTTATCGATAGCGTTTGAAGTGAAAAATTATATGATTATTTTATGTGCTGTTATCTACGTAGCTTCAAATCGTTCAATTCCAATGACTAAATTAATAGTTGTGTACATATCCGCAGGTAGTCTTGGATGTTTCGCTGAAAGCGAATTTTATAATAGTATCTTTCGCCAGTCTCGATTTTCACGATCGCCACACTTTTCTAGTCATTATTGATACTGTAACAACGTACAAATGGTAATCTTCAAGAGAACGAGTTCCTCAATGAGCACACGGAGCCACTGAATTCGACACTTCCCAAAGGACTTTCTCGAAATGATACGCAGAGATATTTTTCATCGCGAAGGTTTAGTTCGATCGATCGGTTCGTTTGGTTGGTAGATTAACACAAACCCTGTTTTCCATATTTTTGTATACACGTGTACATATTTTTAATCTAAACTATATATTTTAATACATGTATATATTTGTATTTAACGGATACATTGTATTCAAAGAATCTGTGCGCAATACCACAGGAGGGGCTTCGCTAAATTCATCAGCGATCGAAAGAGTTTCACGGCACAGATTAAGAAAAAAAGAAAAAGAAAAAGAAAAAACAAAACTAGTCAATTCATTTTTAATTTGAATACGAAGCCAAACATCAAACTCCAATATCGATGTAACTTACACCGGGACCTGATTCTTTTTTATAAGCATTTACTTAACCCTCGAGTTATTAACGCTTGCACTTTGTGTACCTGACTTATCCGTAGAAGTCCTTCTTTATTCGCGAACAACGTTCGAGTAGTATCATTCTGAACGATTATTTTAAAATACGAAAAAGATGAGAATTGAAGAAGAAAAGTTCCCGAATTTCGAAATCAGAGATAGAAGGTATCTTTTCACGCGTTGACTATCATTTTTGGCCCGTTTCCGTTTCCGTTGCTTGTAATTGACGAAAGACTTCACTCGACGACAATAACAATTATCTTTTCTATAAGATGTACAACGCTGGTAGCTAATTTTCAATCTACTAGCAAATTTTTCACACCTCGTGAAATTTTGATTCTTTTCTTACGTTTCTTTTTTTTTACAAAGTCTTCTTCGCGTAATAGGCGCAATAAAGATTAACACTTTGGCTTTACTTTGCAAAAAAAATGTTATAAGTTTTTCATTAATTACATTTTTCAATGAAATTTTAAAACTGAAACTATCCAAGATGAAATAAAACAATAAATTGTAAACGTGTAAAATTATTCTGAATCCAGAAATATCAATTATGGCATTCACGAACAATTTATAAAGTATTTTTTTTTATTTTTAAGCATGTATGTGAAAATCCGAATGATGCATGATCCAGAAGCTAAAGTGTTAACGATATTATCTTTATGCAAATCTACTTTTCCCGCGGTACAATTTATTCTCAGTTTAGTTGGACCGATGATTTATTGCGACGTGTCCGTTTGATCGAGTTCGCGTTATGGTTAAACATTGATTATCGATTGGTGTTATCGACGCCTCCGTTCTCGCGTAAAATGAAAGGTAGAAATAGTAACGACACCAAGTGAAACAAAGCGAGAAGCGACCGAATGGTCTACCATTTTTAAATGACAAATGAAGACGTCTAGTCAAGCTCTATCATCGATGTATGCTTAGAGGTACGCTCCCAAGTACGGTGTATTTAAATTATTTTATAGATGCGATGCTTATAGATGTGACTCGTCCGCAAATTAAACGACTGCATTTTAACTAAGAGGTTCATCGTAGGACAAAATTCTTGAATTCGCGATGGAGTAAGTTAACGTTTCTTGCTACCGCGAGTCTTTGGTAAAACCAAGTATAAAGAACAGTATTATTTGCATATATATGTACATATATATACACATTCTCGACGATTGCGTGAATTACGTTCGGCGCAACTATTGTACTATTAGGGTGAACCGAAAGTTTTTTCCGATTTTTTTCTTTCTTCTATGTTCAAATTAGGCGAAAGCAGTTTTATTTAATCTTCTAATCTTTTTAATTTGATCAAATCAGAGATACACAATAGTTCAGTCATACTTATCTAATACCTTATCTGAAACCTATAAATTGGTGTATATATAACACAAAACGTATATATATCCAGTTTAAACATTTGTTAACATAAAACGCAGAGAGAAGAGAAAAAAATTGGACAAAACTTTTAGTTTACCCTAATGTTTAGTTCACACGGACTATTTAAAGTACGGGAAACGAAGGAGTCGACTTGGTCGTCCTCTCATTAAATGTCATGTCGAAGAGAATTCCAACTTCTCATTGTCTCTACTGCGGATTAGAGTGAAACAACAATTGGCTGTCTTGAAGCTGAGAAAGAAGGAGTTCTTATTCCTAGAACTTTCTCACCTAGCCAAGTGAGTGGGTGAATTTTATTTATAAGCGTGCGATGTCGTATAACTTGACTATAGCACCTAATGTAAAATTCGTTTAATTCTTGCTTTACGTTACTATTATCTTCATAACACGCTGGCATCTCCATTAAGAATGCCAATAGTCAAGACCCATTGACCCTCTGAGGGCCTAGCCAAGTCGATTCTTTCGGTTGCAGGACCTTAACGATTCCCGTGTAACGATGGCGTCGGTGATTAGGAACCCACGCGAAACCGTAGCTCCCTGGCTAATAGCCATCAGCACAATCGATGCCGGTTAAACTTGCCTATGAAACGGCAAACGACATACACTTGTACGTTTGGAGATTAAATTTATTACAGATTTGTTAAGAGAATGCAGTGCGGCCAATATTTGTACATATTACATTATCCTTTCCGTTATTATATCCAATCAAGCATACGATCGGATGACAAATCTCAACGCGCGTAGATTCTTGCTACTCGTGAAGGAAGAACGTCACGTTTGTGGCACCAGTTTGACTAAAAATTACTCGTGACATAGAATCACAAGTAAAGAGCTATGTAGAATACTAAGACACGTTTTCCAATTTTTAATTCTAGTCATAATCGGTTATTTTATGTCGCTTTAAGTATTTACACCTTGTACAAATTTAATATTTGTTTGATTTAATATTTAATTGAATATTTTTTGACATGTTATTTATTGCATTCCTTAAGTTTTAGGTCTAAAAAGTTTTTCTATGGCTTCGTCATTCATTTTCATGTGGAATAAGTATAAGAGAAAGAAAAAAGATAAACAATATTTTATAACGCAAACTGGTACGTCTACAAGCTGATGAAATAACGAATACAATGTTGCATGAAGTATAAAAGTTAAAATATATGATGTTTATTACATAAAGGAATGGTATACAATTTTTTTGAAATTCTTTCGATACTTTTCGATATTAAGCCAGGAATATCCAAATATAAGTTGTGAAGATCTAATGGTAGCCTAACGGATCTAACCAAAATCTATTCACAAGGAATATGCATACAGTAAAATGAAATTCTAGTCATTTTACTGCGAATGTAAAGAGTACCATGACAGCCATAGTGTCACCATTACGAAATCTAAATAGCGTATTCTGCGTTTAGAAACATACAAATCACGAATGAATCGACACTTTTCAGTCGAATGAAATTGCGATGTACTCCGTGTAAGAGCATAACTACGTGAAAATGGAGTCAAATTGGTAACTCAAGCGTCGCGTGCTCGCTTCGTAGTAATATTTATTATATATTGTTGATACTGAAGAGGAGAAAGGTTAGATCGGTGTTACTTTTACAATCGTTGCCCATACCCCTGGACTGTTAAACGAGGATACTTGTAGATTGTAAATACGAGACCAAGGAGCGTCGGGTCGTTCTTTCACTTGTAAACATCTCATTTCGATCGCTCGAAGGACAGCACACCACTCGGTTTCGGTACTTCCATCGAAACCTTCCGCCTAATTTTCACGATACTATTCTATATGTACGTATAGGTGCAAGTATTAACGTAAAGAGTAACATGAAATCTATTTACCGCGGGCCAGAGACGCCACGAACACGTTGTTTAACGTATTTCATATTCTAGTATACACTCTACGGTATTTTATAGTCTCAACAAACCTTACCTGACAGTTCTGCATTAATTTTACGCAGTCCTACGTCGGACGGAGCTCATTTTAATTCTGGAAGCGGCGAAAATTCATTTGGAGAACGTTTGTATATTGCAAGGAGAAAGAAAGACCTTTCTAGAAAGCGTATTATATCACATAAAATAGAACCTTGGTTATTCCAAGTCTTTATTAATCTAATACTTTTGTAAACATTTCGATCTTGGGCGATCCACGCACAATAAGGATTTAGCATTTGAAGATTTGGAAATAGTATACAATTTATAACTTCATCAGCTCTCACTATTGCAAATTGACAAATACTATAAAAGAAATAAGTGGTCGCGGGATGAAATCTTGCAATGAGACATTTTTTCTCTGCCGTTTCTAGAATTAACCCCTCGCGGCCCGACGTTGAGTGAGGCTCGACAAAAATGCACTGAAATCATAAAATCTGGACCACGAAGGGTTAAATGGCGCTGTGCGGCGTAGAATAGCTTCTTCGATGATCTTCGTGGCACCGCTGAGCACCCTGATATATTTTTGGACGCCACTTCCTTCGCGTATCTTCTCCCCGTGTTTTCAAACTACGTAATAACGTATCCTAAAACAGGCCACGAAGTTAAAATATAGAACCCGAGAAGAATAAACCGTTGAACAGTTAAATTTGTCCAAATCGGACTAGCTCGAAAGTGATATTCGATAATTGACAATTACCAAATATGAAATTAATAGCAAACACAAAAACAGTGTCTGTCGATTGACTGATATTTTAAAATGTAATTAACTTGACGTTTCGTTTAAGTTTCTAGTGTAAAACTATACTGATTTCTTTATACGTTCGGACAGTATTGATCGTGTTTGTCGAATTCCGAAACAAGTGGCTAGTTATGCAGCTGTTGAAATATTTATATACGAAAATACCTTTACGTTAGTCTCATAAAATGAGTAATTCTCAAACTGTTCTACAATTACATCCATAATTGATCTCACAGAACCTATCTAGATTTGCAACAAATTGTTACAAATTGCTGCAATAGTACTATTTCTTTACAGTTTCTTGAACATATATTATATAAATACTTAAATAACAAACATGTACACTGTTAACGAGTATTTATACGTCACTTATTTGACTATTCGCTTTGTTACTTCACGTTATCGTTACATTTATTTCAATACTTGAATTTTTTACGATGATACGACACGATAAGTAACGTCTTATAGTAAGTAACGTAGCGTATAACAGAATCATGGAACATTGTGTATATAGATCAAACAATGGCTACTAATGACGATAATTAATTCTTACGATTAATTCCAATGCTCCTTGTGTCTCGGACAAAACCCCCGCATCGAGAATATCATCGACTACAACGGACGTCTTTCGAAACTTAGAAAGCAGCTACAAATACTGCAGTAGTTCTCGAATCAAGCTGCTATTTGTTGTTAAACTTTTCAGAAGCATTGGCGTCGCTACGTAGTTATGGGAAGAAAACAAAAATTAAAAAAAGAACGTAAACTCGACGGTGCCAACTATGAATTCCGATGATCAACGAATTCGTTTGAAATTGAATGATTTTAAATAAAAC